ATTTGTAAAATATGAAAGACTTTTTTCAGGGTAATGGAGGTACATTTGTGATAAATCTTAAGAAGTTATCATTTGTTGAATTTACAGATTTCTTTCTCTGTTCCAAAGCTTGACAAGCAATTTATTTTTATGATATTTACACAATTTTCAGGAAGGCATTGACTTTGCGGAGATGTGTGAGTATGACATGATGGCAGTCTTCGAACATATCCTGAACCAAGTTCCAATATATTACCAAAATGGTGGAAACTCTATCACTAATGAGGAATTCTTACACGAATTATGGATTTTGGGAACAGATGTGGTTGTGCTTGCTGAAACAAGAGTTGGGGCCCTTGGACTGGCAGAGCAGGTGAGGTATTTAATTTATGGTTTATGTATGTCTTAAAATTCAAAGAAACAAAGCACTAAACTATTATGAATAGAATTATAGTAGAATTTAAATTCCCTACTTGTTTTTATTGTGCAGTTTTTGTTATGAGTGATATAATTGATTTCTTGTAATTGTGTGTGGGGTGGGAATCATTTTATTTATTATTATTCATTTATTTTTTATTTATTTATATTTTTTCCCAGTATCTAACTTTAGATAAGAGAGTGAAGGAAGTCTTGGAGACCTTGCGTTGTGGAGAGGAAGTGGCTTCTCCTGAATGAACCTATATAAAAGATGAACAAGAAATACAGTTGTAGTGAAATGTCAGAAGAGAAGTATATGTAATTTCTTTCATTGTACACACACAGGTATATATATACAAAATGATAATACTGATTATTATATAGGGTTTGACTTATGACTGTTTATTTTTTCTTCTAAATTACCCTGTGTGCAAGGAGTGGCTGGAGTTATCATCCACTGGCAGGTGGGATTTGAATGCAGGTCAGCAAGATTGATAAAAGAGAACACTACCACAGCACCACGCACACAGTATATATATATATGTGTATTTGGCCTTAGTATCTTTTGTAGGCAATACAAGTGTAGTAAAAAGATTTAGAAATCTCATATGTAGCTTCTTATGAGTATTTAGTACACTAAGCTTATGCATAATTTTTTTTTCAAGTAGCACTTTTCCATAATGTGGTACAGGTTCTATGATCAAGGATTCAAAGGTGTTCCATCTATAGATCTTTATGCTTTGATGAATGATGGAAATACATGCACAACAGCAGGACAAGATAAAGGATTTACTCTTCAGCACCACGCTAATTTTGACTTCTGTTCATGAGATAGGTTGTAGAAGTTCACTGAAACATGGGACAATGCTGCAAAACTATGAATATGTATGAATACTACCACAAGAAAAAAGATATAAGGAACATTTTGATAGTCATATCTTCATCAAGATTATGTGATGCTGATGATTTGAATATCAATGTTAATCATAAGTCTTACCTTATTGGTTTGGAGACTGAAGGACTGGAACAAGGCATTACCATTATACTATAAGATGTTATCCAGTGGATATCATTCCCTAAATAATAGTAATGCCTGTGTAAGATGTGTTATGATATTTAGTGGCATTTACAGGTAGGACATGTTATTCAATGGATGTCATTCTCTACATAAGGCCACTGCGATATGATAAATATATATATATATATTTTTTTTTTACACCATATTAGATTTTTAAATAATGGAAAAAAAATAGTTGTAGTTTATTACAATTTCAGCCATGATACTTTATTAACTAAGTGGTATATCAGAAATGGCATCTTAGCAGTACCTTTGTCTTAAACTTTAATTGATGGGGAAAAATACCATTATGTGAATCAAGTTCACTTTTTGTATGAGTTGTGTTGAAGTTTATTTGGCATTTATACACTTGAGTTTTACTGATTGTACTGTCATAAGTATTACAATAATTGATTTTATGTGAAGCCATTTCGTACTTCCCAATTAGTGTAGGTGGCAAGCCTACAATGCTATGCCCATTGTAATAAAAGTTTATCTATTGTCTTTACACATAGATGGCTCTACAAGTGCTTAGTCACTAAGGAGGCAGCTATTAGTTTTACCTATCTCATCTGTTTACCATTTTCCTTCATTTTATGAAAGCTTCATTTCTGTAGTTTTATTGTCTTTGATGTTATTATTTTAATTTAAGAAATAATAATCATATCATTAAGAATAACAATGTCAATATTAATAGTATTGGAAAGAAAAACTCATTTTCCCACCAATTCAAGGAATGGGGAAATCAGAATTGGTTATTAGGGCCACCCAATAGACTCCTTGCTGGCTGAGCACATGTGGAGTCCTCTGTATGTAACAAAATCACTAAAATCGAAAGGGGACAGTACATAATCTCACTGACATTGGGTTAATTGAAGAAGGGGCAAAGTATAAGAACTTTTTAATCATTTCTTAAATAAAGGAGAAGAAAAACATAAGAAGTATTTTAATATTCCTAATAATTAAGGAAATCAAATGTAGGAAGCTGTGAATGCAAATTAATGTTTTTCTAAGTAGAACAAAAAAATCTATAGTTTGGCTTTGAGGAAAAATATACACCCAAAAATATAAATCAGAAATTTTATCTTACGGTCAAAACAGATCTAAAATTAAATCCTACACACACGCACACATATATATTATATATACATAAATGAATACATATACATATTTTTCTGTAAGCATATGTGGTTATGTAGATATATATTATTCATTTATCTATCTATATATGTATGCATCTATCTATATATGTACGCATGAAAACATGATTGTATATATATATGCACACATACATACATATATATATATACATGTGTGTGTGTGTGTGTGTTTATGTGTGTGTGTATGTCTGCGTGAGGGAGTGTTTGTGTTTGTCTGTATGTGTTTTATATATATGTATATGTATATATATGTATGTGTGTGTGTGTGTGTGTGTGTGTGTGTGTGTGTTTATGTGTGTGTGTATGTCTGCGTGAGGGAGTGTTTGTGTTTGTCTGTATGTGTTTTATATATATGTATATATATATAAACATGTATGTATATATGTATATATATACATATATGTATATATATGAATATATATACATATATATATATATATGTTTATATATACATACATATATACATGTATGTATATATGTATATATACATATATGTATATATACATATGTGTACATATACATATATGTATATATATGAATATATATACATATATGTATATATATATAAACATGTATGTATATATGTATATATATATATATACATGTATGTATATATGTATATATATATAAACATGTATGTATATATGTATATATACATATATGTATATATATGAATATATATACATATATGTATATATACATACATATATACATGTATGTATATATGTATATATACACATATATATACATATATGTATATATATATATATACATGTATGTATATATGTATATATACATACATATATACATGTATGTATATATGTATATATACACATATATATACATATATGTATATATACACATATATATACATATATATATATATATACATGTATGTATATATGTATATATATGAATATATATACATATATGTATATATACACATATATATACATATATGTATATATACACATATATATACATATATGTATATATACATATATGTATATATATATAAACATGTATGTATATATGTATATATACATATATGTATATATACACATATATATACATATATGTATATATACATACATATATACATGTATGTATATATGTATATATATATAAACATGTATGTATATATGTATATATATACATATATGTATATATACACATATATATTATATATATATATACATGTATGTATATATGTATATATACATACATATATACATGTATGTATATATGTATATATACATACATATATATACATATATGTATATATACATATGTGTACATATACATATATGTATATATATATATATATACATATATGTATATATATATAAACATGTATGTATATATGTATATATATATATATACATATATATATATACATGTATGTATATATGTATATATACATATATGTATATATACACATATATATACATATATGTATATATACACATATATATACATATATGTATATATATGAATATATATACATATATGTATATATACACATATATATTATATATATATATATGTTTATATATAAGTATATATATATATATACATGTATGTATATATGTATATATACACATATATATACATATATGTATATATACATATATGTATATATATACATATATATATATATACATATATATATATGTTTATATATAAGTATATATATATATATATATATATATATATATATATGTTTATATATACATACATATATATACACATACATATATATACATATATATATACATATATGTATATATACATATATTTATATATACATATATGTATATATACATATATGTGTATATACATATATGTATATATACATATGTACATATACATATATGTATATATACATATGTGTACATATACATATATGTATATATACATATATATATATACATGTATGTATATATGTATATAAACATGTGCATATATGTATATATATACATATATGTATATATACATATATGTATATATACATATATATATATACATTTATGTATATATATATGTGTGTGTATATATATGTATATATACATATATATATATATATATATATATATATATATGTGTGTGTGTGTGTGTGTGTGTGTGTATATATATAGATGTATATATATATTATAATAAACACATATATCCATATATATATATATATCACACATTTATGTATATATGTACATATGTATGTATGTATATATATATAAACATGTATGTATATATGTATATATGTGTATATATATATGTATATATACATACATATATACATGTATGTATATTTGTATATGTATGTGTAAGTATATATGTATATATACACATATATATACATATATGTATATATATGAATATATATACATATATGTATATATATGAATATATATACATATATATATTATGATATACACATATATATTTATATATATATATACTTATATATATTATATTATACACATATAAATATATACTGTATATATATATACTGCATATATATTATAATATACACATATATCCTTATATATATATACATATACTTTATATATATTATAATATACACATATATCCCTATATATATATATATAGATGGATGGATAGATAAATAGATATACATATATAGATAGATAGATTTTTTTTTTTTCCATATACTAAATATGCATGCATTTCTGTATACATATAGAACTAGAAATATGTCATGTACAGTTACCATATTCCTTCCACCAGGAACATGACCAACCACAGAACAACATTCCTGACGAATGGTGGAACTATATATGGTCACCCCGGTTCCTCCAGATGAAGAATAGTAGTGATCCTCTAGTTAAGAAATATGCTTATAGGGTAAACAGAGGCTGAGTAAACATCGGAAATAAGTAGATTTTGGATCATTTGTCATACCTCAGAACCTTAATAAGCTGGCTGTCTGATCAGAAAAGTTTACTATTAGATTTGCATGTTTGCTTGCATGTTCTAAAAAATATATATTTATGAAATAAAGAATATTTTAACAAAGAAAATATAATGATGAAAGTGTATATAATGTTCAGAGAATGTTTTTTTAATGAAGGACATTAAGATTAAGGCAGTTACATGCTGACTGCTTTTATCCATTACCAGGTAGCCAAATGTGATGGAAGGCAACAAACACTCCTAGGAATGGCATGTGTGGTGTTGCTTGAAATGTCACCCTTAAATGTACTGGAAGAACTTCTAAAGGGTTATCCAGAAGACTTTGGTGAGAACCTTGGAAGTGTCCTGCTTGAGTCATTCAGGGTTGTGTTAGACTTTTGGAGAGGATCAGATATACCGGTATGTTTTAGGATTTTGGTAGTGAAAGTGGAGAGGGTTGGAAGCTGATTTGTAAAATATGAAAGACTTTTTTCAGGGTAATGGAGGTACATTTGTGATAAATCTTAAGAAGTTATCGCGTGTTGAATTTACAGATTTCTTTCTCTGTTCCAAAGCTTGACAAGCAATTTATTTTTATGATATTTACACAATTTTCAGGAAGGCATTGACTATGAGGAGATGTGCGAGTATGACATGATGGCAGTCTTCGAACATATCCTGAACCAAGTTCCAATATATTACCAAAATGGTGGAAACTCTATCACTAATGAGGAATTCTTACCTGAATTATGGGTTTTGGGAACAGATGTGGCTGTGGCTGCTGAAACAAGAGTTGAGGCCCTTGGACTGGCAGAGCAGGTGAGGTATTTAATTTATGGTTTCTGTTTTTCAGTTTTTGTTTATGAGTGATATAACTGATTTCTTGTAATTGTGTGTGGGGGTTGGCAATTATTTTATCTATTTTTATTTGTTTTTTGTTTTTTTCTGCAGTATCTAACTTTAGATAAGAGGGTGAAGGAAGTCTTGGAGACTTTGCGTTGTGGAGAGGAAGTGGCTTCTCCTGAATAAACCTATATAAAAGATGAACAAGAAATACAGTTGTAGTGTAATGTCAGCATAAAAGTATATGTAATTTCTTTCATCGTACACACCCACATATATGTATACAAAATTATAATACTGATTATTATATAGGGTTTGACTTATTACTGCTTATTTTTTCTTCTAAATTACCCTATGTGCAAGGAGTGGCTGGAGTTATCATCCACTGGCAGGTGGGATTTGAATGCAGGTCAGCAAGATTGATAAAAGAGAACACTACCACAGCACCACGCACACAGTATATATATATGTATACTTGGGCTTAGTATCTTTTGTAGGCAGAGGTTCTATGATCAAGGATTCAAAGGTGTTCCATGTATAGAGCTTTGTGCCTTGATGAATGATGGAAATACTTGTACAACAGCAGGACAAGATAAAGGATTTACTCTTCAGCACCACGGAGTATGTGATGCTGATGATTTGAATATCAATGTTAATCATAAGTCTTACCTTATTGGTTTGGAGACTGAAGGACTGGAACAAGGCATTACTATTATACGATAAGATGTTATCCAGTGGATATCATTCCCTAAATAATAGTAATGCCTGTGTAAGATGTGTTATGATATTTAGTGGCATTTACAGGTAGAGAATGGACCTCACTAGGCCAGCTTTAAAAGTTAAAATCTGTTGAGTTAACCACATGCTACCAGGGAAAATGAATAAAAAATGGCAAAAACACTGTGCTCATTTTTTATATTTTTGTGAAATATCTCTCTGCACATAGATGGTTTTGCTAGTACTTAGCCACAAAGGAGTCAATTAATAGACCTTGTGACCTTACCTAATTTCACCATTCCTTAAAT